TAAACATGGTGTCTCACCAGATACTCACTATGGATGGCATTACCCTGGCCTCTAATAACACTGTGAGGAATATTTGAGTCATTTCCTTTAAGGCACATATTAAACAAATATGTAGGACTACTTTCTTCCATTTGCACAATATCTCTTGTGTATGTCTCATTATCCTGTCTCAAAGCGATGCTGAAAAACTAGTTCATGCATTTTTTTTACTTGCAGGCTGGACTACTGTAATTCATTATTATCAGGATGTCCTAAAAGTGTCATGAACCGTAGTTCTAGCACGCAAGCTGGACCCAAAAGCAAACACAATACGCAGAAATGCACACAAAACAAACTTTAGTTTTCAAGCAAAGGTGACCCGGAATAACCAAAGAGAACACGCTCCTTTGGCGCTAAATAGAAGAGACTGGGAAATAAACGACACGGGGACGCCGTAATCGGGACCGTTTAAACCGGAGGAAGGAGTGCCCGCGGGAGAGGATTTCAGGGAGACGAAGAGGATGATAGGCGGTTTCTCTGAAATCTAGGCGGTCAGGAGGACAGGCAGGTGAAGGTACGAACATGCCGGACAATAACCACTGAGTGGCGACTGACTGCATCCCATGATGCTTTAAGTATTTCTTCTTCAGTCTCATTTCTCATTTCTCAGTTCTTATCTTCAAATAGCCTTGGTACCCATGAGAGGGGACAACAAACAAAAGAAAAGAATCATGCACTGAAAAAAGAACAAACAGCATGCAGGGCATTTATAGACACATGACCACAAAGGAAGTGTTTGAAGCTTGTGCAATGTCTAGTTGCTGCTGGTTACTTCGAAATATGTCTGTTAGGAAATTTGCACGACGAAACTGAACATAACACACATGAGACAAGGTAGCTTCAAAATAAAACACTTTGAGCTTAACAATAGGGGAGGGAATAAGAAACAAGACGTGAAATACACGACAGACTGTGGAGATGAGATGAAACACAAGGAGAGCAACACCGGAAAAGGCAAGGGAGATGAAATACAGAGACACCACCAAGAGGGCGAGGGAGACTATAGAGTGTGCTAAATGCAGAGAAGAAGACTATAATAGATGGGACATGACAACAAGAGTGATAAACACAGGAAACACTGCAAACAACACACAGGGAAGGAAAACACTAAGGGAACTAAACCAGAACTACAGGTAGAAAGAAAAACTAATAAATATAAGCAAAACTAAATTAGGAAATATGAGTCGCTCCAGAAACACCATAATAATTAATCAAGAAGTTCATAAATTTAAAGCATTGAATCAATGACCTAGGACCATGACATATATGAAACGAGCATTTGAGGCCTTGATCTCCCTCTTTGATCCAGGTACTTTCACAGTCCCAACCATCATGATTAATCCCATCTCAACTGTCCATGTAGCTACCGCTCTACAAAATAAAACTATGAACTAATGCTGACACAGCTATTGAGGAAAAATGTGTTTCAGAATTCAAATTGGACAACCATCTGCCCTCTTACGATGAGTCTGAGAATACAATCCAGGAATTGTCCCCACCATCCTTATCGTGTCTCTAAACACTGGGAATATCATATTCTGATTGCTTAAGAGCCAATGCTTTAAATGAATGTTTATAAAATACATGTTTCTAACACACTGTAGTGTATTTATATCAGATAGAAGAGGATAGAAGTTTCTCACGCTGCCAAATGTGACAGGCACAAACACTTTAAATCAACAGGAAACATCAGACATTTGGTATCAGCTAACCACATGTTAAAATTTCACACATGGTCATGGTCACTTCCTCATTTAGTTCTGTCTTGATACCTCAGGCATCTGTTTAAATGGTTGTCTTTCTTTCTTTTGTTCAAACTGATGCTTGTCCGATCACACAGAACTTTTTCTACTTCCTCATGATTTACATTTAAGTTATTTTCTTGTTTCTTTATATATTTACATGCATGTACTTACCTTTTATGTTCCTCTGTGGATAGTTGCTCATGCATGCTCAACTATAGGATTGGGTGGATTTATCCGTGCTTGAACAAATAAAACTAATCATAGATTTATTTATATTACAGCAGTGTGTTTGTGTGTGTGTGCGTCAGTCACTCTCTGTCTCTCTCTCTCTCTCTCTCCTCCCCTGCAGGATTACAGGTGCACCTTTTAGAGAGGAAGGGGAGATGGGCAAAGGCGACAGTTACACCATTCAAGGGTGTCTGTGGATGTAAGAGGAGGACCGCTAGTCGTCATGATGCTCCTGCTTGGGAGGGAATCCAGAAAGTGTGTTTTTGCAGCAGATGTGCACCAGACTTGTTGTTAGACTCTTACTTTTTAAATTTCCTTTCAGAGATAACCTGTTAACCTCCGCCTCCAACTCATTCTTTTACCCCGATGGTTTTCTACATTGTTTTCATTAAATCTTACCCCTTCACCCCAAGACCGTCTGGATCATAACATATACATTTTGTCATTTTGCGGTGAATAAATGGACAAACACCTTCTCGGCACCACACACATTGGTGTGAGCTGTGATTTTTTTTTAATTCTTAAAAGAAAAAACAAGGAAAAACAAGGAACAATCTTTTATTATTTCACAGATGTAAACACTGCTGCAGCAAAACATTACCTCAATAAACACATCTCATAAAAATATAACACATACAGTTTTATTCTGTCATTTCGCTGCTGGTTTCTCACAAATACTTCTGCGAGACACTTTGCAGGATGTATCAGACCAACTCTTCTGGTAACGATCACCTTTATCACCCATCATTACACAGTCGTCCTCTCTCCACTTATCTGGCTCATTGTAGTTCCAATAAGATAAACTAGGAGATGAAGATCAAAAAGAATTGTCTCAGTAAACGCTGCTAACTTTAATTTTGAAAATGGGATTGTTTTTCCCCACATCAATCAAACCTTTTGTTCAGTGGTGATCCGTCCACCCACAACCATCTGCCCTGCTCTGCTGAGTCTGTCAGTCCGATCCAGAACTTGTCTTCATGATCCTTCATTATGCGTCTCACTTTTTTCCACAGGAATTCCTAAACAGGAAAAGTTGATCAAAAATATTTTGTGACACTTCTCTTTGCTAAAGAAATGTAAACATGTGGTTAAATATGTGAGAACCAAAACATGCAGCAGTTTTTTATACCTGCTCCTCTCTGCTGTCTATCTTAACCAGGTCTCCTCCTTTAGCTATACAGTCATCACTGCTCTTCATCCAGGATGATTTATTGGTAGAGAAGTAATAACACTTCCCTCCATGTTGCTCCCAGCCTTCTTCACATTTAGAACATGGATCACCTTTGAAGATATTAAAGCAGAAATTTCAGTCAGGTGGAAGAAACTGTTCATATTTGTGTGATTTGAAGGCAGCAGGAAGCTCCTTCTGTCCTGCAGGTACAAACTAAGTTACTGTTTCTGTGAGTCCATCAGTGTTTCTTTAATCATCATCAGAGGAAACAAATGTTTAAAAGAATAAATCCACAACTTATGTACCTGTAACTTCAGGAGGTTGTGGACATGTAGGCTGCACCGTGCTGCATGGCTTTGCTTCAGAGTCTCTTTCTTGTACCATAAAGGAAACGTAGATTAAAGTCTTTATGGCTTTTTTGCAGAACATAACAAAACTCTAACTGAAGTCAAATCATTAATGAATTGTTCTTAAATTAGTTTTAGTTATGCTGCAAACATTACTGGGAAAAATCATTTTTTTAATCAGAAAATTGTGCACACTCACTGGTAACACAGAGGGCAACAACAGCAGCAGCCAGAAGAGCACTGAGAACCAGCAGGGCCAGTCTCTCTGGGGTGACCTTTGACCTTGTGCTCTTCACAGTTTGTTGAGAGGCCTCTAAACATTCAAATGGAACACATATATCACCAAGATGTGACATATGAGCATAAATATGTACAGGTTTTTGATACAATAATATGAATGCATGATTGAATTCTTTGTTACTTTGTGCAGATAATAATATGATAACTTATTTTTGTTTTTGGCGTTTGTATTCTGTGGTGATATTTCTACCAAATCTTCACCAAACATCATGCAAACTAATTACTTAACAGGGCAGTGAAAGTCCTGATATTATGAATCTCCTTTGTTATTTTGTCTTTTAATATTGTACGATTGAACAGAATAAATACTGAAATGTTATAAAGTGGTTTGAGGTAACAGTTCTTGTCTTTTGTGACTATGTAAATAAACATAAATAGAATTGAATTCAACTCAATTAAAGCTTTTGAAATAACTTCTTTGGCTGAGATAGGTAAATGAAACCAAGCACAGAAAAACATTAATAACAATAATTGCTCATTACTGCTCTTTACCTACCAGGCAGCTCCTTTGCGGGCGGCTGAAACTTTGAGATCCTTAAGTCTGCATGAGTGGTGTAACCCTCTGCAGCAAAAACATGAAGCCAGAAATGACTGCTTACTTTGAAGTGAGTTACTGTTTGCTGCTAATAACGCCTTCAATTCACAAGCAGACTAGCTTCAACAAAAAGAAGTGTAGAAGGAGAATTTTCTTATATATCTCATATGTATCACTCATAGATAAGTAGACAAGACTCACTGTTGGCCTCCCTCTTCCATCTAAAGGTTACGATAGAGTTCAGTACTTCATCTTCAGACATTTTACTGCTTTGTGACCTTCAGTTAGTCAAAGAGAGTTCAACGAGATGTAGACATAAACAAACTTCCTGTTAAACAGACGAATGGGGAGGGTTTCATAAATGACTGCTCCACAAATAACAAGTGTTACTGGTTATATGCACTGTGGCTGATAAGAACAAAAGGCTTGTGATTTGAATTCTTTTGATCTCTTCTGAATTTATTGTAACTAATTGTTTAATCTCCTCCTGTTTCAATACCCTGTCTTATAGAATAAACCTGCAAAGTGTTTCTTAATGATATGTAATTCATAATGATGGATAGACTCACCATTAGTTTCCCTCACTTGTCTTTTTAAATCTTTTCAGTTTCATTGTACAGGAGTACAAGACTTCATCTTCAGATATTTTACTTCTGTGTGACTATCAGCGAATCACAAAGTAAAGTGTCAAGCAATATAAAAATACCTGCCTGTCAAACAGAAGAATGTATGATTTCACACATTTCACACACTTTACATATGTGAACATTTTAAAAATACTAAAATTTCATCCTGTTGTACCTACGGGTAGCTATCGTTACCATGATGAGCTTAGTCTTTGTTAGAGTTTATGGTTCGTCTGTTTCCTGTATCTCATTTTTATATCCATCTGAACTAAGAATACCACAAAGAACAAACATGAGAAGGATGAACAGGCAAGGTGAAAAATGAAATACTGAGTATTCACAGAAAACTGGAAACACTCCAAAACGTAAAATACTTACAACAGAAAACCTAACTATGAACTCAAACTAGGAACTTTGCACAGCAAACAGGTCAAACTCAAGGACTATGAAGATCCCAGGTTATAAATAAGTGTTAGCTTTCTAATGACTACAACTGGCTCGTGTTTTCTTTTTCTTACCTTACAACTAAGTCGGTGTTGGGTTACATTAGGATAATTCTGAACATCTGATTTGAATCAGATGCTCAACTTTTTGACTTTTCTAACACACTGTAGTGTATTTAGATCAGATAGAAGAGGATAAAAGTTTCTCATGCTGCCATATGTAAGAGGCACAAACACTTTAAACCAACAGGAAACATCCGACATTTTGGTATCAGTGGTAACATTTCACACATGGTCATGGTCACTTCCTCATTTATTTCTGTCTTGATACCTCAGTCATCTGTTTAAATGGTTGTCTTTCTTTCTTTTGTTCAAACTGATGGTTGTCTGATCACACAGATCTTTTTGAATCTTGAACTTTTTCTACTTCCTTTTAATTCTACATTTAAGTTATTTTCTTGTTTCTTTGTATATTTACATGCATGTACTTACCTTTTATGTTCCTCTGTGGATAGTTTGTCAAGCTGAGGCTTCAACATGACCAGAGTTAGTCCAGTTGTTTCTGAATAAACAAATAAATAAACTATAAATGATGTACTTTACTCTTTAGATAAACACGAGGACTTTATGATTGGGTGGATTTATCCGTGCTTGAAGAAGTAAAACTAATCATACATTTATTTTTGTTACAGCTGTGTGTGTGTGTCTCTCTGTGTCTCTCTCTCTCTCTCTCTCTCTCTCTCTCCCTCCTCCCCTGCAGGACTTTTTAAATTTCCTTTCAGAGATAACCTGTTAACCTCGGCCTCCAACTCATTCTTTTACCCCGATGGTTTTCTACATTGTTTTCATTAAATCT